AAATTAAAAATTGTTATTTTACAGTGATAATCTTGTTTTCTTGTGCCCAATAATGCATAATTTCATTTGATAAACACGTTTAGATTGAATGGTAATTTATAATCAGTCACAAGAACGTCGAATCTGAATCACTTGAAAAAAACACGGGGGTGCTTAACTTTTTTCCAGGTGTATATTAGAGTATTAATCTGTATTTATTTCAAACATTCCCAGATCCAAGTTGTCTATTCTCACAATGACATTACTTTGTTTTTGCATAGAAACATGTATTGGTTTGTTACATCATAGCAAGTGCACTACAAATGCATGACAGTAGACTGGTTAAATAGCATGACCACAGAGCAAGTTTTAACAGTAATGTTACTGATCTACACTCAATCGTAAATACTTAAACTGGATATTCTAACCTTAGCACACTCTAGCTGGTTAGGATGGAGGAACATTTGAAACATCAACCTCTGTGGCCGAATACTTGTTTTGGTGGGTAACATCATCTGATTCCTTCGTGGAAAATAAGGACCAGGAGTGACTAAGGAAAAAAAATAATTATGTACACATCTAAAAGGGAGAGAGATTTAATAACATATCTTTGAAAGCCTATCTCTATTGACTAATAAATAAAAACAATACTACAATATTTAGTATGGTAGCATCTATATAAATATAATAGTACTGTCTGTTGTATGTCCATGTAATTACTTTGCAGGGTATTGGAGGTATGGAAGTTCATTAGTTCCATGTGGGGGGTACATACAAATTTTCAGTTTTGCCTTTTTTAACACTACTTAGCCCCCTGTAGATGGGTCTTTACCAAATTTGGTATGGAGGTTCATTGGGTCCATGGGGGAGATACATACAAATTTTCAGTTTTGCATTTTGTAGTTTTTATGGGCATTTATTATGAAACAAGCACTAAAAACAGAGTAGTATCAACTGTCATTGGCCAACAAATGGAACTTTTGTTGCTGGAACAATTTTTGTTTAAAGAAATACCCGAGTCTTAGCTCTAACTGGGCAACTTTGAACTCTTTTAATTTTACTTCATTCAAATTTAGTATTGTGTTTATATCATACATAATGACACCAGTTACACTAAACATATGTACCATCCTTTTCTTACCCTAACAACAACATATATACACAAAATCAATCTCATGGAAGTTTGAAACTAAGCACTGAAAAATGGAATAGAAATCCTAACTAAAAACAAACACAGTGGTCTTTTTTTTAACACAAACATTTTTGCCTATCATGACCATTTTAGTGTGCCAGTTCTTTATATAGTTCAGTGAAGCACATGTAAGCCTACTTCTATTTGAAATGTTGAAATAAACAAACCGGAAAGTCAATCAGAGATGATGTTACTAATGGCCAACAAAACTTGACTGCATGAAAAAAAATTAAGAATGGGTCACAATGTCACTACGACAAAATTACAAATAGCTCTTAAGTTTAAAATTTTCTATTTTTTGACAGTGCTAACTATAATTTCCTATTCATTCTGGTTTAATTCTAAGTACATAATGACCTATAATTCTTATAGAAATGTTATAAATTTGTGAACTTACCAAATGTTTAAAAAGGAAAAGTGCAATATCTTGGGATGTAATTATAATTATACTAACCTTATATTAAAGCACTAACCCTACCTCTTAAAAAAAATCTCACCAGATTTTCACAAACTGCATGGCCTTATCCTGACAGTTACAGTGTAACACACTAATGATGGGTCATAATGGTCACTACACATAATTGGCCACTATGCCACCAGATTTTCACAAACTGCATGGCCTTATCCTGACAGTTACAGTGTAACTACACTAATGATGGGTCATAATGGTCACTACACATGATTGGCCACTATGCCACCAGATTTCTTCCATTTCTGTATTCCAATTAACTAATTAAATGTAAATGTTTTGGGTTACTTTGCCAACACAATTTGGCTGTTATAAAGCCTTGTTTTTAATGACTTCTGGTCTTTTATTCAGATATGCAGGGCTTAAGACATTTATAACTGATCAGGTCTAAGGAAAAATGGTCATGAAAAGCATCTGGTCTCTGATGCAGGTTTGACAGTATAGGCTTTACAAGACTTTTCTCACCAGTCAAGATTTTATCTTTCTCTCTGAAATATATACAGTTTCCCTTTCTTCCAAAAAACATTTCAAAGACATATGATAAATCAACCTCTTATTTTTTTTTCTTTTTATACCTACATCAATATAATTATCCCATCTTTCAGTCAGTAAATTAAGTGAGAACTGTTTAATGAACTTACTTGGGCTGCTACTTTCTAGGAATGATGTATGACAGCTGCCTAACAAACGTATGATGGATGACAAGTTTTCATTTGGGTATAATAGAATCAGCTCTTGAAGCACTTCTACAAAATCAAACACAAATAAACTGTAAGCACATTCTGGGCAAGGAATAAGCATTTTATAGAACTGAAATACTTTTATTAGCTAAGAAATAACTGACAGAACTGAAGCATTTACTAATTAAGAAACAATCATTTTTTACTGAACTAAAACATTCATTATGCATGAAATAAAGTTTTTGTTACAGAGTTGATGTGTAATGGCATACCTATACATATGTGGCGAACCTTAGGAGGAGTGTAAGAGTTGAGAAGGGTCAACAATTTGTGTATCACATCTGTATGTTGTTTCCATGAGGACAGCCACTGACTGACTTCTGGTGTGTCCTGACATCCTTGTGCACACTTCAATAGGTCAAGTACAATGGCTAGAAGCTCGACCATGTCTTCAGTGACGTGACAGGCTGTGGCTTCTTGATACATTATGTGTAGTGTATGGAAAGCCTTTAACATTACAAAAACACAATAACATTATTTTAGTGTATGAAAAGCCTTTAATGTCACAAGAACACACTCAATATATATATATAATGATACTTTCAGCGTACTAGAGGAGAATCATTTTTTACTGAAGTGATTTTGCTTATTTTTAAATGTTTCTTACATCAGTAATTCCACAAAACAGTGAATTTGATATACTGCAGAGAGTTGGAAAGTGTTTGCTGGAGTTATATCTTTTGTTAAAATGTTTAGTTATAATAATAAACAAAATGGGATTATACTTTTGATAAACTTAAGTTAATACAGCAGCAAAAATACTGAAAATGTTTGCATTAAATAGTTATAAGAAATGAACTCTTCTTATTAACCTATTATTTTTAATATTGTTTTGGAAAATATTAAGTTAATGGCTTAAAAATAAATATATTACACATCAGGGAAAGGTTCTCCATATTAGTTTTTTTCAACCACAACTTTTCACATTAACTGTCTTCAAGTGTTTGAGATAGTTGCTGCAATTGTGGCTGAAAAAAAAGTTCTATTTATTACAGTATATAATTTGAATTTCTATTTTTCCAAAGAAGTATTAAAATGAAAATTTTGGACTTTCCTTCTTTAGTCACTAACTCCAGGCATTTTAGAAATTATTTAAAATATTGAGAAAAATGACATAAATAAACGTTGTTATTAACTTGACAAGGAGTATTACTAAGCTTTGGCTAAGAAAGTTTTAACAAAATTCTCAGTAACTGATGAGGCACTATATGCAAGAAAGAAAATACTCGAAAAAAATGTGTTTTAACAACTATTAAAGATGCTCTCATCAATTTAATGTTTTTCTTTAATTTCTTTTCATTTTCCAATTGCAAGTGTTTACTAGAGATTAAAGCCAGTTTCTTGTAATCTATAAAGCTACATATATTACAAAAATCACAATAGCTTTTATTCCAAGTTTATTATTTAGTATGTATGAGATCTTTGCATTTATATCATATCTATTGAATTAATTCACTGTACCTGAAACAGCATGGCCAGGCCACTGTTACAGATAACAAACAAGCGATCATCTGTTGTCTCCACTAGGTGGCGTAGAGCATTGATTAAGGTAGCCCAACAAGCACGAGCATCAAGAACGGTTAGGTACAGTCGCAAGGTTGTTCTCTTGAAGTGATGGATTTCTCGGATTTCCTGTTCTGTACTGTCAGGATGCTTTGTTACAAATATTTTCATTAATTTGAATAACTCGTTCACTGCCTGGAAGGTAAAAAAGTATTTGTTACTTCACATATTTCACAAGAAAAATTTAATGCTCTGTTATATATTAAAATATTCATATCATGCCACCAACAATCACTTAGGTTCCTTCTTAACAGAATTAACTCTATGTAAACAGGTCAATTTGTCAGACCAGTGGTTTCCAAACTTTTTTCACTGACGACACCCTAACCCACTTATTTTGATTCACCCGACACTCCTGCTGTTACATGCAATACTTTCTTTGTAGTTTTTTTTCATGTTCTTAATTACTCTTCGTTTGGTGAAACTCGAACTCCACTACTAGCAACTTGCTGCAACACACAGCTTAGAAACCACTGCATTAGACTGACATCATATTGGAGAATTCTGGATTTACTATATATACTTCACAAAATTTGGCAAGCTTTGAGTAAGTATGAAATTCTGAATTTTCAAAAAAGTATTTTTACTAAAGATTTTTGTCTGTAAATTTACTGAGTCAGTCTGAGTGCAAAGTGATTTTCATGTTAAGAATAATACTTCTTTTCATCTTATAGTTTTCATATTTCACTTGTATAACCTCTAAAACCTCCTATATAAATATCAAACGTTTTTGTTTTGGTAAAACTTTATAATTTATCTGTTACTTTGTCATCAATCATGATCAACGTATAATGAAATGAAAAGTTGAAAAATATGAAATAAAGTTACCAATACACTTTTTTCTTCTTCTTCTGATGTATAATTTTCCTTGTTTTACGTAGTTCCAATTTTCGCATCTATTTTCTCTACTACGTACCTAGTTCAGCACTAATCCATCAAAACAACGAACACAGCAAGAGGAAATTAGCCATGGGTTGTAAACACCACAAATGAAGCACACAGTCTATGTGATTATTAGGAGTGAAAACAACAACTGAACTAGGCCTCATATTTTTCATTAACTTAATTTTTGAAACTAAAATTCTTGGAGATTTCAAACATACATTTTACAACAATATATTTAAATGTAAGGCACTAGAACAGAATATCCTAAAAAACTATAACTTAACTGGCTTTCTAACGAAGCAATAAATAGGTTTAAAAAATTCCATTTTTTCCTCAGAGCAGAAAAACACAATCACAAAAAACTAAACTGAGGCTAAACACTTATTTACAAGCACCAAAACGAACTAGCCTTCTAATGAATCTTGTAAAGAACAACCTGCCCTTTCCTTTGGTTATAAAAAATTCAGCAGCAAATGACATTTTTTGAAAGATGAGATGAAACAGGACAGTCTGACTTTTATTTTTTTTCTATTTCAGTAAAGCACAAAGCTTAAAGTTTATATTCTAGCTTGCCAATATCTATAGTATAAATTTGCAATTGGTGGGATGCTCAGTCCATATAAGGGTAGAAAAACAATCTAAAATAAGTAATTTGGAATGCGGAAGCATTATGTGATTCAGAGAAATGAAGACTGAATATTTATTTAAATTTTTTTTTAAATTAAGAAATTAAAACTTACTTAACATAAAACTTTGAATTATAACTAAAGTTTTGATGCCAAGTTTACTGACAAACATTGATAATAAAGTTGTTTAGCTAAATTTTGAATGTAACTCTGTAAAAATGCCGTGAAACGAGCACTTTGACTTGGCGAGATGTATTATGATGTGTACTAAAGCGTGAGGATTTAAAAGCCCCTCAATACTGTTACAGCAACTTACAACAAGTAATGTATGATATGAGGTTCTAAAAAGCCAAATGGATTTTGTAAAATCAACTTACTGATGTATACTGTGTTGTGTAAGGTGTGATGTTTTTGAAAGCCCACTGGATATTCTGATGGCTCGCCAGCTGACGTGCAAAACTCCGTGACTGCTGACAACAAAGGCGCAACAGACCATAATAAGCTGGGAGCATGCAACGATTAAACACCACCACTTCTTGATCATCATGGTCAGCCCTGAAGTAAAAAACAAATAGTTGTACAAGTATATAATCTATCATTACATACACAAGTACATATAAAATAAAATTATTGCATGTGTTACAGAATAAGAGAGGTATTATCATACTTACAATATATAGTTAAATGCTATGTTCTTAGTAACATGACTGTTCTGAATGATCAAACTAACATTCTCTGGACAGTCTACACACACTTGGTACCAGAAGATAAGAAGAGCCTGAAAAGTAGAAATGAAAATTAGAAGAAAAAAAAAGAAGTAAAAACAGCAGATTATCTGACACTGGAACAACTCTTTAACACTCAGCTCTGATGCCATGAGTTAAACCTTCATTTTGAGATTAAAATCAGAAATACTCAAATGCTTCTTTTTGAACTGTGATGTACACATGAGGTACTTCTGTCAAGATGACCTGCTTAGTTACCAAAGCAATAATTAAATATTGTGTAATTTCTTGTACTGATCATTAAACATATGCCTCAAATACTTCAACTGTTGTGAAGGTTAAATGATTCTTAAGAAAATAACAGAGAACAATCAACACACCTCTTTTTTTACCTTTCTTAACCAAGCTTTATACACATTTTTTATTAGCTCTTTTCAGAACAATATGAAACTCTCTAACTGTTTGTTATCTACAGCACAAAACTGTCTCATTATATCATAACCTACAACAACTACTTATCACGGTGTACAGTGATATCAAACTTACGTTTACAACAGTGCATAGCAATATTAAATATATCAGTTACTTTATATATATCACAAAATATACAAGATTTGTATTACTCGTTAAGATATTAATTTTTTTCATTACAATGGTACAGAGTAGTATGAAATATTTCAACTAATATATATCATCGTCTCTAGAACGTCTTTTACTAGTTTACATCACTGTATTGTAACATAAAGATTTTTCTTCTACGAAACATATTTCTATATAACAACTAAGAATATTTTATACCTGTTTATTGTGATGGACAGGGATAGCTGGTTCGGAAAGCTTTGGTTGGAAAAGATTCCACATATCTAAGAAAAATGGACTGAACTGGAAGACAAAATGAACAAAATTATTACAAATTCCAAACATTACTGAATTTAAACAAACAAACAAAAAACGTGCATTACCTATTAAAATTGTTATAACTAAATTTAAAAAACTTTCTGTGTATACAAAACTAATGTACGCTTTACAATGTATCTTGAATACCTTAAAAACATTAAAGAGGTGACATGTAAATGTTTGTTTTAACAAATCATGGCCACTACACTGTAACACAGATTACAAAATTGGGTGTTTTTTTTTACAAACAGTCTATTACGTATGTGGCACTACATTCCTCTGTTCACCACCTGTCAACACTAAAACTATGTAACAAAACTTGACAGGTTCACATATTAGGTAATAATGTCACTACTCACAGCTAATATTTTGATAAATGCCTATGAATAAATGGGAAGCTACAAAAAGTTTTGTTTAACAAATCCTATGTTTACATAACAACACTCAAACAACTATATTCCAGCTCTCACCTCTGTTATATTCTACAGAATATATTTACCAACCAGAATATGATGAGCAATATGTCCCAGAAAAACGTAATTTACGTACCATAAGCTTCTCTGTACGACTTATGAGACAGTACGTCAGTACAGCAAAGTAGTACATGAGTTTCATTGTACCATGTACTGCTGGATCTAGACGTGACAGAAAGATATCTATTACAATAGACGTGAGATTTAAAGACACCATAAGCTGTGAATTTGTCTACTTTTTGCATGTTATTAGTCTATATTCTTTAGTGCATTATTTAGTTAAATAAAAATTACTAAATGCCTTACTATTACTACTATAAAAAGTTAGGGTTAACTCTCTTCGAAACTCGACAGCAAGAAGAAAGATAAGTTACGTATTTTATTTCTTGTTTTTCATATTTATTCTTTATTTAATATTATAAAAGTAACTAAAATCTAAAAATACAGATATTTTAAAGTTATTTAAGACTAGATTAGGTAAAATAAGTAATAATAATAATATAACAAATGGTTCGAAGGCATGCATGCTAGCAGCTTGTGGGTAATGTAATTCAATAGCGTAACATGACCTGCACGTTCTACGAGTTATTTACAACTTTTTATGGTGTGGAAAGTAGTTAGACATGATTCAAAGGGCAATAAAACAATAAAATGTAATTATAAATAGAAGTATAATGTTACATACATTGATAAATGAATGTAGTTTCATATTACAATATGAAGTCATTCCAGAAAGAAAAAAAGGTTAATTTAGATTTATTTCAATTTTTTTCAGGTGGTTATGAGGTTGGTCAAATTAATCGATCCTGTTTTGAGATAGGGTAGAGAAAATAACAGATAAGTTATAAAGTTTTACTGAAAAAACGTTTGAAATGAATTTAAGAGGTTTTAGGGATTACACAAAGGAAATTTGAGATGTCTGAGATGAGGAAAAGTATTTTTGATTTTAACATGAAAATTACTTTTCACACAGACTATTCAAAACAAATACTCAATATATTCACGGACACGAAATATGAATTTTTATATACGAAAGACTTGTAATATTAACTGAAAGACTGCCAAATTTTGTGAAGATATACCCACAATATTGAGAGTTATAAGTATTAAAATTATAAAGACTTTAAACGAGTACAAAAGGTCATGTGGCTCGGTCAAATTGACCAACCCTATATTGAGAGAGTTAATTAAGATTAACATACGACCATTAAAAAGTGGATTCTACATGTTTCAATATTGCAACGTCATCTTCAATAGTGAGTTGCAAGACATAATCGTGTCTTTGTTGTCATTAAATAGGTCATATGACCTATGTACAGGTTTACAATTATGAAGGTCTGGCAAATATTTATGCAAAAATGTGGGGTGATCTTCTCTAAAATGTTTATGCACGCTCTATTTAATAATACATGATCTTTTTTACATTTAATTATTTCTCGGATATTATTAGCTATAATGCCTTTTGGTTGAACTAATATTACAGTTTTTTCCAATAATACCATATTCTGCTATGACTGAATTTTTTATTTCTTACGTATCCTTTATGCTACGTTAAATGATATTTTAAATTATGTTTAGTCTGTCCAATATAAGTATTTCCATATTCACATTCAATTTTTAGAGATTCCTGTTTTTTTTCCATTAACTGTATGTTATCTTTGGTATTATCTAAATTTTGCTTTATCTTATTAATTGGATTATGTTTTGCAACTCACTTCTGAAGACAACATTGCAATGTCGAAACATATATTGACCTTAATGAAAATGTTTTTAATTGTGTACCTATTTTAACACTGTGTGTTATTTATTATTTTAACATCATACACAAGTGCCAAGAAATAATACTCTTAGCCTATATTGGTTTTTAGACACCATACATCACCTAGATGTACTGCTGTTTAAATTTCCTCCACAGAAAATACAAAATAAATTTCTGCCAGGTTTCATCACTGAAACTATATCTGTTACAGATGTATTCCAGGATGTTTATTTTTTTTTATTCAGAAAGGTCTTTACAAATAGCATTTAATTTAATATTTTCAAAACAAACTTACCAACATAAAGCTTCGCTCTTTTTAACATCCTCAACAGGATATCATAAATCTGTTTAGAAACGACAAAAAAAAGAATATTTAATTAAAATGTAACTAAGAAGTCTACCTTACATAACATCACTTTTCAACATCACCTTCTAAACCTTATGGCTGAAAAAAACTACTGCAGTGTACAATCCTGAAAAGTAGTATAAAACATTTCTTTTAGTTTGTATATTACTGTCTAATGGAATATTGAAAACTATTAGTTTTTATCACATGCTACAGTGATATTAAACCTTTATGTTTACAACGTGTAGAAATATGAAATGTACAACTATTTTATACTATTGTCTATTAAACAACTAAAAATTTTCTACCAGTTTACATGTTATAACAGCATTTCCCATTAGTTTAACTCAAGAGACTCTTTTAATGAAGGTTTTTGTACATAAATAATATGTATAAGTATTAGAATAAGTACCACAGAAAATTGTGTGGAATAGACACATCTAATCATACCATTACAATCAATAAATGTTGATAGGCCTAAAGGAACAATAACATGAGAAGAACAAGGGTTTTGTATAATGTGTCAATCTGTGATTAAAACAAATGAAGGAGAAAAAGTTTAATAAATCAACTCAAACAATATTAATTAAGAGGACAAAATATATGTTAAAGTAGCTTTTTTTTGACACCTTTGTGATCAAAACCTAATTTTTGATCTGTTACTACACGGAAATACATATTTCCATTAGTGTATTTACTACACACGACTGTCTCTATTGTTTTAAAAACCAAAGCAATTTTTCTAGTTACTAGTTTGTGTTTATAAAAACATAAAGAATGGCTAGTGGACAAAAAAGAATGCAAGCATACATAAATGTATTAACTTTTAATTTACAAGATCCACATGAGGACTGTGGTTAGCTAATGTCATCATTGACAGTGACACTTGGACCAACAAAAAAGAAATGCAAGCCTACACAAATATATTAATTTTCAATTTAGAAGATCCACATGAGGACTGTGGTTAGCTAGAGTGTAAAGCTACTAACAATGTGTACTAAGTAATGTGGACTGCCAGACAAAAAATAAAGATGTTTGAAAACTTTCCATTGCAGCTTTATGACTTCTTTTTCGCATGGCAGATTATGTGGGTCATGTGATGTCTGTTTTCAGTGTCAAAAGTAAGGAAACCAAAACAAGGTCATAAATATTTGAAATCTTTATTATAATTATTTAAGGAAAAATGCTCATTTTAAAATGTTATAAAAAAAGAGAAACTTAATAGATACGTATTAACATCCCATCTATAAAAAAATGACAGGAGGGTTTTAAAAAAATACCAAACAATATGCTTACTACCAAGTTCATAACTAGATCAACACTATGAAACACTACACAGAAAGGGAGAAAATACAACTGCTGCCATAAACTAGTGTAGAAGGCTAAGAGGTAATTGCTGCCATAAACTCGTAAAGAAGACTAAAAGGTAATTGCTGCCATAAACTAGTGTAGAAGGCTAAGAGGTAATTGCTGCCATAAACTAGTGTAGAAGGCTAAGAGGTAATTGCTGCCATAAACTCGTAAAGAAGACTAAAAGGTAATTGCTGCCATAAACTAGTGTAGAAGGCTAAGAAGTAATTGCTGCCATAAACTCGTAAAGAAGACTAAAAGGTAATTGCTGCCATAAACTCAAAGAGAAGACTAAAAGGTAACTGCTCTCATAAACTCACAGAGAAGGCTAAAAAATAACTGCTACCATAAAATTTATACAGAAGGCTAAAAGAGGTATCTAACTGGTTATTGAAATCATGAAAAAGTTTAGAGGGGTTTGAAACATAACTGCTACTGAAGTTGCAAGAAAATAATGCTTCTGAAAATAAGCTGATATAATAAATATGATTGTATTACACCAAATATTGTATGACTACAGTCACCAGAAGTAGTGTACGACTCTATTTCTACTTACCTCTGAAATGCTATTACTATTACAATAGGACAAGATACACATATAAATAATAGGACAAGAAAAAAGTTAAAAGCTGTAATCTTTTCCTTTACTGTTTTCTGCAGACTAAATTACATTAAGTAAAAACAACAAAAATATATTCATATCTACAATTATTTCAAGATCTGTGAAACATGTGATGTGAAATTACACTATAAATATTCTCTATACCTGATGCATGATGCCCAATGCTTCTCCACTCATCTGTAAAATAGAAAAACATGTTAAAAACACGCACAAAACTCGTAATATGTGTATATGAACTAATTTTAATAATGCCTTGGGATAAATAATTTTGTTCTTAAAATTTATCATTAAAAAAGTTTTTCTTTTCTTAGTTTTCTTTCCAGTTCCATGACATTAAATAAAAAACAACAGAAAGTCCATTACTGGCCACAAAGTCAAATATTTAACATGCTTATTTATATTTTTGACACAAAACTAGAATGCATAACCTAAAGATGTATGACTGATATCACTTATGTGTAAATTTACCTAGTATTATCAGAAATGTAAAAGGAAAAAAAAAGAAAAAAGTTAATATCAGATTTATTAACATTTCTTGTCTGTTTATAAAGTACAAGAATTATAAATGTTTTTAAATGAGTTTGACCTAATGTAATAATGGTCAATGTAAACAAAAAGTAATTACTTCTTACCGTTACTTCTTTCTGAGGGGTAAGCATACTCCTCGTAGACCTGAAGGCCTGCCGAAAGTGATTACTCGGAACAAGAGATACCAAAAGTAAAGCAGCCACTAAAACCAAAAAGAGAAAGTATTAGCAAAATTCACAAGCTATGTTGGAATACTTAAAAAAGATGAATACATTAAACATCAATTACATCTCTTGCACTTCTAACATGTGCCTTTGTCCAATGTTTTGAACAGAAGTACATGCTCTAACATTAAATTTCCAACTTGTAACTCATTCTTTCCATGAGGCTTGGATTTATGATTTCATAATCAGCTCCTTCAAAGCAAAAAAGAAAAAAAAGGAGGACAAATTGTAGCATTAAATATCATGCCTTTTCATTATAACAAATAATTTCTAGTTATAATATTAATCACTAAATACGTAATTGAGTACTGTGAAGGGCCATTTGACACTAACCATTCCTCACTCGCTGCAGGTTATGGGCCATGAGAAACCTCTCCACCCAGCTGTCCATGTTTTGAAGCACCCATGAGTGAGCAACTTTGTTTCTAGGAACCTGCATGGTAAGCCATTCCAAACACTGCTGAGGGCAATACTCTGAGGCCTGGCAGAAACAATGCAAACAATAGTGTTAATAATGACCAACCAAATAATGACCAAAATACATGTCACCTGGAAAAAATATTTCTTCTTAGAATAAAATATTACCATATATTAATATAAACTAAGATTTTACTACATCCAAACACAATAATCATTAGCTATGAATACATATATATACAAATATTGAATACATATTGAGAATAAACAGTGAACATAGCTTTGGAGTACTTTTGGTTAATGCACAGGAACATATTTACATCATTTTAGAATCTATGCTGGACAAAAGTATAGATTCTGTATTGACCTTTAAGAATAACTACTGGCCATGACCAAAGAGAAATATGCAATGACAAATGTACTCTGATGGCCATAATACATGTTAAATCAAATATAATGAGACACACCATTAAATATCTATATATATTGACTGATAATTTGAGATCACATGTTACACTCACGAAAATTTTAATAAGAAACTACTAGCTACTTGAAAATAGTTTTAATTAAACTTTATATGCTATGAATGAAGTAACACATAATAGGTACACTTCAATGATGCAACACATATCTGGTGAATATCACTGATTCAACATTTGTCAGGCAAATTTCACTGATGCAACACACAGTAGGTGTTTCACTGATGTACCATTGAGCATAAAAACTTCAAAGACATAGTACACAGCAGGCAACGTGCAACAGATGCATTTTATTAATGCAATGTACAACAGTACGCGAATTTCCAATTCAAAACTTTAAAACTGCATGTTATAATATGTTATTATAATAAGTAAAAAAAAAGTATAATCATAAAAGTCTGATACGGTGGAAACCCACAAGGAACAAAACATAGAACTGATTCAAAGGTATAACACATAGGTAAAAATATAAATTGAAAATAATATGAGTAATGGAATTATGTTGAGTCATACTTTAATGCAATTTTATACACAACAGACTCAGCCCCAAATTATCCAATCATGACAGTCTATCCTAAATTCTTAACAAGCATATTTTTACTGCAAAGATTTAGCTACATTCACTTAAGTTAATATTTTACTGTACTCAACATATGCTGTCATGCTTCTCTGAAAAAGCCTCTGTCTCCACCATTTTAATAAAAAAAAAGTTTGTTTCATGCAGTTAGAAATTAAGCACTCAGAAATCTGCAGCTAATTGTAAATACAAACTGTGTAAATAATTTTACCTCCCAGATTCTGTGTAAGATGAGGTTGGTAAAGGGAGGCAAACCTGGAGGGCCACCCACAAACTCCACCAGCATAGATAACAACTTGAAGAAAGGGCCACTTGCCTGAAGAAATAACAAACATACATGTGCATCACATATAATAATAAATTATCTCCAACTATTTTCAGCTCTTCATAAATTCCCATCAAGTTATTATAGCTGTAGTTATAAACTACTGACATAAAAATCATATCCACCACACTCTACAATCCGTACTTAATAACTTTGTGAAATATAGTTTTGACAGTTTATATTTTAATTTTTTATAGTAATAACTGATGATTCTTGCTGATGAAAAGCCTCATGGTCATAAAGTGGTGTAACTATGATTATTACGGTGACGTGACTCATTTTACACTGAAATAACTAACTGAAGATCCCTTGTGATAAGAAAAACTCATAGTTACAAAGAGAAATGAACATGATTACTTAAGGTGATGTGAATAATTAATTTTACACTGAAATAACTGATTATCCCTTTTCATGAAAAAAATTCCCATAGTTAGAAAATGGTGAGAACATTGTATATTACAGTGACGTGACATAATAATCTTACACTGAAATAACTGATTATCCCTTTTCATGAAAAAAAAATCAGTTATTTCAGTGTAAGATTATTATGTCACGTCACTGTAATATACAATATTCTCACCATTTTCTAACTATGGGAATCCCTTTTCATGAAAAAATCCCATAGTTAGAAAATGGTGAGAATATTGTATATTACAGTGACGTGACATAATAATCTTACATTGAAATAACTGATTATCCCTTTTCATGAAAACAATCCCATAGTTAGAAAATGGTGAGAATATTGTATATTACAGTGACGTGACATAATAATCTTACACTGAAATAATCGATGATCTTATTATAATCGATAATATATAAAGTATTCATGATATAATCAATACTTTCTTCTGTTTGTTTTAGTGAAGAGTTACAAAATGGGCTATCTGCACTGTGCCCTCCACAAGGTTTAGAACCTAAATTTTAGTATTATAAGCCTTCAAGCTTACAACTAAATCACCAGGGGACATAATCAGTACTATACAAAAATCTATAAAATAAATACTTAAACTAAATTTTTTAAAACCGTGATTATAAATAATAATACTATATACATATTGAAATGTGTTTGAAAAAATTTCAAACTTTAACCTCAGTTGACTACAAAAGTACACATTTATCAGGAGAACATCATGCTCTAGTGGGTAGACCTAGCTGTAAAGATTAATAAAACAGTACTGATGACAAAACAAATCACTGCTAGAGGCTTTTTTTACCTAGTCTAAACTGTAAACTGATGAATACACTATTATCAGCTATAATGGGACTTGCCTACCATGATTCATTAGCATTAACTAAACAGTGAAGATACATATGACATGTTATGCCAAAGAAATGCCCTTGGAAGTTTTTAATAAATTTATAAACTAACCTCAACCTTAAGAGGTAACTAATGTCATAACCAGCTCTGCTCCACTACAGTTAGGTTAATAAACTGATAATATCAACTATGTTCCACTACAGTAAGGTTAATAAACTGATATCAGCTATGTTCCACTACAGTAAGGTTAATAAACTAATAATATCAGCTCTGTTCCACTACAGTGAGGTTGATAAACTAAGATCAGCTCTGTTCCACTACAGTGAGGTTAATAAACGAATAACATCAGCTCTATTCCACTACAGTGAGGTTAATAAACTGATAGCATCAGCTCTTTTTCACTACAGTGAGGTTAATAAACTGATAGCATCAGCTATGTTCCACCATAGTGAGGTTAATAAACTGATAGCATCAGCTCTTTTCCACCATAGTGAGGTTAATAAACTGATAGCACAAACTATTTTTCACTACAGTGAGGTTAATAAACTGATAACATCAGCTCTGTTCCACTACAGTGAGGTTATTCTTTCCACAACTCATCTAATAGCTAAACCACAAATACCCTAAAATTTTATTTCAAAGAAACTTATCATTTGAAACAAAAAAAAAGAACATATTTAACATTTTTGGGTATTTTCTCTTCTTCAAAACCAAATCTTAGGATAAATATTTAAAATACTCACCATTAAACGTTTTTTTCTTATTTATGTGTTAAATCCTAATTTAGAATTTTGCAATTTTTGATTCCAGTATAACAGGGCAAATTGTTCTCATATAAACCTTGTTTTGAAACAGCTTGACAACAAAGGAAGAATCATAATATTGAATATGCTCACATATTATTTGGGAAAAAAATCCGATATTTCTGCAAGTTAAAATTTTTATTGTCATGTCCATTCAAGTGTTTTGAAACAAAAGTTGATCCAATAAAATAAACGGAAAGAATTAATTAAACAAGTCTTCATAATCACAGTTCTACTGGCATATTTAAAACTGGATTAACACTGTGGAAAGTATGCTATCAAACAAAGAGTTGCTTTTTAACCCTTTCGACAAAGGCGTCTGCAATGTGCGGTGCCCATATTGGAATTGCACTTGTTAGTCTGAATGCTCGCGCTTTGTCGATAAAAAGTGATTTTACTGTCTGCATACAGTGCATATACACAGTACCTGCATAGACGGCATGTAATGGCCGGCGTAAAGTTTTGCAAATTAAATATTGCCAAGGGCAGTTGAGTAGGTTATATAATGACTGGAGCAAGCAAACACAATGTTAGATGGCAAAGATGAAGATCAACAAATAGCTATCAGTGTCAGTGGAGGTATGTATGTCTTGGAAGGTGGATGTGGCACCCATCAAGGGTTGACAAAATTTATTACTTGTTTTTACTCCAATCAGTGAGAGAACTTTGAAAGTTACATGTCAATAGGGTAAGTTAAAGTATTTAATTGTTTAGATGTACATCTACAGCCCTGGCATTATCTAAGTCAAGATAGGAAGCATGAAATTTTATATTTTTCATAGCTCGTGGGTCACATGACAACACAAAACTGAAGATTGAGTTTTTTGAAGGTTTCTTTTGAAATAAAGAAATTAAAATTTAGATAACGTAAAATTTTGAATCATAACATACATTATAATGTTAATTTCATTCACATACATTGATAATAAGTGTTTAATTAAATTTTAATGTAACTCAGTGACTTGCTCAGAAAAGTGTTTAAAGGGGTAGCCATCGTGAAAAGGTTAGTAGACTATAGAAATGATGATTTATTTGATATAATTTTTGGTTTAATAGATTTTTGATACACTATGGAGGCTTTAAAATGTTTGAATTCAACCAACAAAAATTTCAGCTGCAAACTTTACTTTCTCTAGCTTGATGGAAACTACACTACACTATTTTGGTAAAAATTAAATGAAAACATAAAAAAAATATCAGGTTCTTTTAATGCTTGGCTCACAGGAACTAAAAACCACAAGTGTACGATTGATCTTACCTCTTGTTGTTTGGTTATGGCTGAGAAGATCATGTTGATTATCTGAAAAATAAGAATTATTCACTTTAAAACTGAAACTATGGAGAAATCATGAATTTTCACACAAGTTAGTGAAAAAAATTATAAATTGTTAACTTCAAAGTAATAATAGTAAAACAAGTCCAACTACAAATGGCCTTATTCTAAGTAAGAGGTTTACTCTGACGTTCAGCATATACCATGATTTATTGTTATAAGAAATCTATAATAAAGATTTCCAAAAGTAATGCATAAGTTGAAATAACTTATTTATGTTACTATTTTTCTCTGCCATGGAGAATTAATGTTTATTATAATTCAGTATTTAAATTTATTTTCACAAAATTTGGAAAGCTTTTAGTAAACATGAAAAGTCTGTTGTACACAAAATTAAATTAATAAAGTATTTTTTCTTAAAATTTATCTGAATTCATGTCCTGACTTGGACACTCACTACTCTGGGTACAAGGTGATTTTCATGTAAAGAATAAAAATACTTACAGTTTTCATAATTCACTTACATAACATCTGGAACCTCCTAAGTAAGTATTGTTTTTTTCAATAAAACTTTAATATTCTTTCTACATAACACTAAATGTAGCATAAGAACCGTGTCTAACTACTAAACTAGCATAACAATAAATCATCAAGCAAGAACATAGCTCAAGTTATGTTAAATAAAGTATCAATTACATAACACATGAGAAGGTTGTGTGTTGACCTCAAGAAGAAAGCTTTTTTATACAAGTTTTCTTACCTACTGTAATAATTTTTTAATTTTTACACTTTACTTCTGTTAAAACTATATATATATATATTTATTTATTTATATATCAGTAAATAAAACATATACATAAAACTAAACATTTATCACTTAGCATTGCTTACAGGCCTATTTAGACTTACGACTGTACAGTTAAAAAAGTATTTGTATCTGTACTCTTTTCCACACTATATTAGTTGTCCAAAAAACAATTCATGTAGCTTTCAAATATGTATTTTAAGACACAAAAAATAATTCGAACAATAAAACAGAATAACTCAAAATGGCTATAATTTATGCAGTTTTCTAACTTACATATAAATAGTTAATACAAATTTCATTACTTACTGAAGCATGGACTTCAGTCTACATTCAATAAAATCTACTTGGGTAGTGGTCTTTCCATTGGTTATAAAAGTAAACAATTGACAAAAAAGTATGAGTAAATAAGTAATTTCAAAAGCAAGAAGAGTTAGGAGGAGATTCTGTGATGGGTGTAATACATTTATTGATATCTCAGAAAGTAGTTGGAAAAAACCTAAAATGGAGAATTTAGAGCAGAGATGCATCAAGTGATACAGAGAAGTGAAGATTGAGAATGCATTTAAATATTTCCTCTTTAAATTAAGAAATTAAAGCTTACATAACATCAAAATTTGAATTATAAACTACATTTTGATGCCAAGTTTATTGACATATATTGATAACAAAGTTGTTTAATTTTTTATAAATGGAACTTTGTAAAAGGTTTGACAAGCACACTTTGACCCCACCTCCTTGAACTTAAAGTTAAACACTTCACATGGATTAAAAATTAACTGAGAGCAGCTTTAAGATCATATGCTAATTTCTATATCAAAGTTTTAACACATGCACACACACAAAAGATCTTGAAATAAGTGAAAAAAAAATGTTTATCATATTTTTCTTTTAACTATTATTTCATTCCCCAAAAGATCTTTGACTGTTAAAGAACACTACATTTTTAAGAAAAAATGTCCTATAACAATGTATGTTACATTATGTTGTTAATAAGAATGTTTCATAACAGTCAGTAACAAAACATCACAATTAAATAAGTGTGATAACAGTGTGTGATACATTATATTGTTAACCAGAATATCTGATAATAGTCTGTGTTACATTAGATTCTTAATAAGCTTTTGATAACAGTCTAAGTTACATTGAGCTGTTAATAAAATGTCTAATAAGTCTTTGTTACATTAGTTCATTAATAAAAATGTCCAAGAGTCTCTCCCACATTGTACTGTTAATAACTTAACACTGTTAAAAAAGATGATAAAAGTCTGTATTATGCTGCTTTGTTAACATCAATGTCCAATTATAGACTGTTAGAAAAGCATAAATTTTCACTGTTAGAGAACATTACAATTGTCAATATTAATGTTTTATAACAGTATGTTAGAAGCATATAAATTTTTGCTCTCCAAGATCATTATACGTTATTTATAATAATAAGAATATCCAATAATAGCCCATAAAAAAAACATAATTAGTCCAGAAATTAGGTATAATAACTTAAGTATGGAAAAAAAAGTGCTTCAAATGCTTTTATCTCTAAATATGTTCATATTTCTCTAGAACAGTTTGTTAATACAAAGTAAAAATCTTTTAACTCACCCAAGATAATTTACAAGTATACACAATTCTAAATTTTAAAAGTCAATTGTAAGAATACAGTCATTTTGCCTTTTTTTAAACCTTATTAAGACTTTTAACAAATGATGATTTTTTACATATTATATACAAACAACTGATATTTTAAATTTTTTAGCTAATTAGTAATCCATAGATGTGAAATTTCTATACATGATTTAACATGGAAAGCTTTAAGTCACACTTGTATATGGATGTATTTAAAGATATTAAATCAACATGAAAATTCCCTCAACTTTCATTATTATGTGTCATATTAAAAAGAATTTATATTAAAAAAATAGCATGAATGATGTAGTTATGTTATAAACATAAAAATGAACTTTGTTGGACCAGTTCTTTGGTTAATGTATATATATATACATATTACTAAATGTCTTGCCCCATCCCCTCCCTCGTTATCCATTTTAAAATTTAAGTCATATTTTTGGCAAGTATACATAATTATTTCAAATTTTGAATTATGCTTTACAGCAATCAAAGTTATTCAAGAAAAGTACAGTTTGCATATAAGCCTCAAAACTTCTCACTTACATGGTGAGCTAGGGGTTCATTCCAACGACACAAACTAAATATGAGATTGCAAGTCTGTCGTAAATTGATATTATCTCGGATCTGCTGATGTAAAAATGGAAAACCCTGTGAAGAAAAAATAAAATATACATATATATATATTAAGTATAAAAAATAAAATATATATATATATATATATATTAAGTATGAAAAATGTTATAGTAAAGCAAGAGCTGTTTGAAAATGAAATAGTTTAAAACTACTTTATTAACATTTATTTAACAAAAATATTTTGAACTAGTTAACTTCAACAACAACAACTAGAAACAAAATGTTTACTCCAAGAACTGGAAATACTCAAGTATTTTTACAACTATTTTCATTTTTTATAATTTTCCTTAAAAATTCCTTAAATACTGAAATCAAACCATCCTTATAAAGGCAAAACATTATGAAAGAAAAATAGTCTTATACACATAACTTATACTTTTGAAAAAGTTGTGTATAAATAAGGAGGAGTTTTAACAGCATCAAAACATAAAACATGAAGATCTGTACTTAATTCAACATCAAAGCACTGAGTCTAACATGGCCTGGTACTTTAGGCACTTGACTTGCAACCTGGAGGTTATGCGTTCAAATCCCCATCACCGAATATATTCACACCTTTTTCAGTCATGGGAGTGTCAATCCCACTATTCTTTGGTAAGGGTTTTCCAAGAGTTGATTGTGGGTGGTTGCCTTCCCTCTAGCCTATTACTGCTAAATTATGGACTGATAGCATAGACAGCCCTTGTGTAGCTTTGCACGAAATTCCAAACAAACCAAACCAAAAACTATCAAAGTTTTTAGCTTGGTAAAATAATTACAATTTTTACTTATCTATCATCCAATATACAAAAACAAATTTAACTTCTCTTGTTAGCATCCTTTAGCACAAAATTACTGAAAAGTTAAGCAATTTAAAGGCAAAATTCTATCAAGTTTATTAAGACAGCCAACGATTTTGTAACAGATACTCTATTCAAACCTTGTTTTTGTGCTGTCTTGTGATTAAATAAAGTGTGACGTAATTGAACACTGAAAGTATTTGTAGCAAAATGCATTGAGATTTGGTGAAACAAAAATACTCAGTCTTATTTTTCCTGTGTTGGCTTCTACTTTTTTATTCTATTTCTTTTACTGCATACAGAAAGCAAATGTTAGAGATTTATGTTTAAGAACCTACTGATTAACTTTGTCAATGAAATAAATTGAATATTCAAGGTTTACCCACCTTTCCTCCTGCTACTGTACTGAAGTCATTATGAGACAAATGAAGACGATGATCATCCCCTCTCGATCTTTCTACTAGCAGAGCCACCAGGGTAATCATCTTCTCTAGTGATGCAGGTTTGTACTTATCATCTACTGATGAAACCACTTCATCATCATCATCATCTTCATCAGATACTACCTCAACCTGAAATGCAAATATTCTATCTCATGTTTTGGTTTATATAACTTTTTGTGAATATCTACATGTAACAGTATTTCTATACATACACAATTATGAGTTTTTTTTAGAGACAACAAAACTTCCAACCTTTACATCTGATGTTTGGCAAACAAAAATAACAATTACTAAAGTTATGAAATAAATAGAGCACATGGGATGTAATCCTAAAAATATATGTACTTGAAGCCCAAGAAAAGCTATGTTTTATAACATGAAACCTTTCTTATCACTTACACAGCCTGTGTCATCTGAACTTTTCTGTCCCAGATAAAAATTGACAATGGTAGTAATGGCTTCTACAGACAAAAGGAATTGACATTCCTCTTCCCCCATCTTAGCAAACTCCACTAAGAAAGCAAAGTATTCTGTCAAATGTTTCAAATGTTCTTTGGCTCCATGTTCAATCTAAGTGAAAATAGTTAAAAAACAACAACTTAAGCTTGATCTTTTATAACAGGAGCAACAAGTATAATTTCAATGAACTAGTTACTAAAACATATCTCACCACAAGCTTTTTAATTAAGAATAAATGTCTAGTATAATGAATGACACCCCTATAAACAGAATCTTTTCTTTTATAGTTGCCATACTTTTTCTAGGATAAGAATAAGAGAAATTTAAAATGTATCAAAGAAAATGCAGGTTGTGTTTAGATTATTGCTAATACCCACAGACTATGAAATGGGGTTATGATAGGTTTATACACACCTGAACTTGTTATAGTTTGTAAAAATTCAAACGAATCAGTAAACAGTTAAGTAAGGTATATACAAACCTGCTAAATTTTGTTGAAAAAATTTGCTATTAAATAAGAACGGTTTGCACGATGAAGCTACATGTTAATAAATATGGTATGAAAACTTTTAAAGTAGTCGTTTTTTCTGTAGAAAGAAAACAAACTTTATAAAAACACTGAATCTATATGAAATGTATTCTTTAATCTGGAAATAACAAAATACACTCTCTAGAAGGAAAAAAGTACTTAAAATCACTTTACTTATAGAAAACGTACATAAAAACTGATTTTGTAGCTAACTAATGTAGAAACAGAAGTACAACAACAATTGAAATGTGGAAGTGTCACAGCAAGTTGAAATTAACATAATGTCTTGTTTGACTAAAAGCAACCTTACCAATGTGAGAAGCTTTTTGATGAAACGGGTAACACATGAATCCTGGCCAAGTTGGCTAAAATCCACATCTGTGGAGTCATCACTGTAATTATTTACAAATATACAAAAAATCACTTACAACAGCTTCAAACTTACACTGTGAAAATATAAAATCAATAACTGCTTTTGTGTGTGTGTAACACACTTTAAAAATAACTTCCCTTCTCTCACTGAATACTTAATAATCTGACACACATATCTGCATTTATCTTATTAATAATTCAGATAATACTGTGTTTACTAAATCTTTATTCATATCTATGTAATTAAAAAAACAATGGATGTCTGTCAATCTATGTGTACATGCATGCTAGCTCACATGGAAACCCAATATTCCTATTCACTAACTGTTAAGCGGTACTTTTATGTTTATATGAGTGCAAAACTACAATGTTTATAACATTAACTTCAAAGATAATTACTTCAGTAACATACACTAACATGCAAGGAAACACATTAATTCTTTACCCTTCTGTGGCTTATAAATAATGCAATATTATTACATCTCAATATAAGTTTCAACAGGTGCCTAAAAATCGACAATTATGCCTGAAGTTTAAATAAGTACAAGTTTACACACTATATAATCTACAACATTTAGCCTTAATAGTCACTGCCACAACTTCATTCATTTTTGATGCTATACAGCTAACACACTGTGTGAAAGAAAATAATTATAAGTTTCAGATGATATACAAATGTGATTTAGACAGATATACATACAAATAAAAACATGACGACAGATGATTTTTAAACTTCTTGATACCATAATTTTAAAAATTCACTATTTTATAAATATTATAATTATGGGAAAAAAAAGAAAAATAAGTGAAGTAACAACAAATGAAGGCAGTTGATTTTTACATTTTTTGTTATCATAATTTTTAAAATTATGGTATCAAGATAAAATCTCAAGATCTTCATCAAAGATGGTAAATATTCACAAAGACAAGGT